GATTCAGACTAACATGGCTACCCCTCTGATAAATAACAAAGTGTATACATTTTTTAAAAGCTAAGATTCTGAGCAAAAAAAAAAAAAAAAAACCAAGACAGAAGCCAGGAAATTTAAATTCAAAGCTGGTCTGGTTTTTCTGTTCTTATCAAAAGCATGAGGTTCTAAAATATCAACAAGCCAGACAGCAGCGGAGGCAAAGCCTCTTTTTTGAGCATATGATTGCATCTGAGGGGGAAAGAAGGATATGTATATTGGGGATACTAGATGGAATTCAGAACCTTCAGCTGGCTTTGCTGAGCATCAGTACAAGGTATAAAAAAAATAAAGAAGCAACTGGAGACTAGAAAATGAGTTCAGTATATACAGCACAAGATACCCTATAAAACAATCTACAGCAGTGATACTGAAACTGAGGCTCACGAGCCACAAGTGGCTCTTTAAAAGAGTCTACTGCAGCTCTTTGCAGTACATGATATTAAAACACTGATTTAATTATTAACCAATCTAAGTTATTAACCAATTGTAGCTGATAAAATACTTAGTCATTTTGCTGTGAGAATAATATTTATTTCCCCCGTCATACTGTTTAAGTATATAGTACTATAGTAAATGAAACAATGAATTCACACTACTGAGGCTCTTTAGGGTAATGTTGATCGCTAATCTGGCTCCTGAACTACTAAGGTCTGAATATCACTGATTAACGGCATATAAATCCATGTAACCAGGTAATGTCCAAATCTCACAAAAGATTCATTTTAAAATAAAGACAAGAAGATTCCCATCTGGCTGAAATACTCTTCAAGTATCCTTTTTTCTTCTTACTCAGTATTATTTAACTGCTTTAAAAGCTCTAAAAAGACAAAGATCAAGCTTTAAAATTAAAAGCTCTCTCAGCAATAGCTTTTAACCTCTAAGTCAGGGATTCTAAACTTTTTTCTTTCTGAGGCCCCCCCCAACATGTTATAAAAACTCCAGGGCCCAGTGTGGGGGGACTTGGGGCTCCAGCCGCCAGGCAGGAGAGCCCTCACGCACAGGTGTAGTTTGACTTCTATTGGGGGGGGGGGCCAGGAAGGGAGTGCCACTGACCTCAGCAGGCCACCCAGCCTGTCTGGGTTGTGGGGAAGAGGGGGTGCAACCAAACATTATAACTCAAAGGGGGGTGGCTCAGCTCAAAAAGTTTGAAAACCGTTCAGAGGGCAGGAGGTAGCTAGGTGTTGTGTGCAGGCGGGGTGGTAGCTCAGAGTGCAGGGAGAGGGGTAGCTAGGGGCTATGTGCCTGGAGTGCCTCCCCACCCTGCGGTCGCTGCTATCCTTTACCAGCTGCGTGAGCAGTCAAAGGGGGCTGGGAGCTGAGGAGCAGCCGCAACCCCAGGCGCCAGCAGCAGGAGGAGGAAACAGGGGAACACCATGGAGTAGCCTCTGCCCCACACTGCCCGGCTCCAGCTTCCAACCTGGCCAAGGGTGGGGCCTCAGGTGTCTGGGGGAGAGAAGGAAGTGGGGGGGTGAGCGTGGAGTTGCCCCCGTGACTTCCCTGCTCTGGTTAAGGCACTGCAGTTTGGGGGGGGCAACGCCCCCATAACCACCCATGGACTCAGGGCATTAGCCTCAGGGGGAGTGTCGGGGCACCAGGGCTTTGGTCCCATGGGGGCACCAGGGCTCGGGACTTTGGCCACGGGCCCTGCAGCCCTCCTGAAATGGCTCATGGACCCCCAGGGCACCAAAGACCCCCAGTTGAAAACCGCTGCTTTAAGTTTTACTCTTAACTTTTCTGTATTTGCTGTCCATTTTCAGCAAAATTCCTTCAGCCTTCTCCTTCAGATTCAAGACATTGAGGATGATTTACTTCATAATTCATGCAAAATTGATTTTATAATAAAGCTGCTTACAAGAGAGAGATAGATGGCAGTATGTAGAGGGCAAGATAGTAAACCTAAACAATATGAAATATCTCAGCAATAACACTTGTGAAAAAGGAGAGAGTTTCTGTGGGCTTTTACTTTATATATTTTATATGAAATTTAAATATTTTATATTGAACTTTAGTTACTGCTCTCATCAAAAGCTGTTTATATTAATTCTCAGGAAAAGAAAACACACACAAAACATGTTGCCTGTATACATTATTTCCAAGACCAATTCCAAATTTACTTTAGAGCAAAGGTCCAATGACTCCATACCTGAAAGGGTGGATTATATTGGGTGACCTCCACAACAACATCATCAGACATGTGGTAACCTTTATCCTCCACTGTTATGAGAGTGTAATAGGTGAGACATGGACTGTCTCCAAGATGCCATGCTGCAGCCAAAATTACCAGTCCATCACTATTAATTGAAAAAGCACCACACAATAAGTACATGCACCATGGTTCAGAATACAGGAACATAAGTAGGACACTACATAAATAATATTTTCAGGTATCCAATGTATTAGAAAAGTGTCTTTTTATTAAACAGGAACTTTAGTCTCCAACTTAAAACAGTGAGGGGGTATATGGAGTATTTTGTTGTTTTAATGCTCTTAATGCAACAACAATAGTTTTTAGAAACTGAAAATCTGTGGAAAACTAAATTCCCATCAAGCTGTTTAAGTAATATCAATAGAAGCCACAGACCAGTTATTTTGGTTAGCTGACATAGAAGTTATATTTGGCTTACCCAGCCTCCTGGAAAAAAACATTGCGAAGAAAATTATAATGAAATGACAGAACCTTAATAGGATTATTTTGTGTGAAGAATTCTTAAAACCATTAAGTTACTAATGCTATCACATCTAATACAATTAGTTAGTTGCACTGAGGAGTCTGTTTTGTCACCAACAGCATTCAGAGTAATTAAAATCCCAATCATTTACATATAAAACAATGTAGGAAAATAGAAAGCACTATCAAATCAGCACATGGTTCATCTCTTGCTAGACAGAATGCTCATGCCTACCGGTTTCGCTGCAAATCCAAATACTGAACGTTGACTCCTCCTTTAATATCTTCATAGCTACTTTCAGAGCCCTGTAAAAGACACTAATTTATACTGACAGAAACAAAGCAGCTAACTACCAATTTCATTTTATTTTTCAAGTTTACTGCCTCTTACCCAAATTGCATCTGTGATGTGTTCTTTAAGGATTCTGTTGATATCCCAGCTGAGAACTTGACGTTCAGTAGAATCGTCTATCTCCCATTTGTTTAGATTTGAACTGGTCAGTGCATAAAAGCTTGATCTCTCTTTGTCCCAAAGAACACTAGAAAGCTGCATTAACCAAAAAAAAGAAAAAAGAAAAAGAAAAAGCAAGCTCTGTGAGTTAAAGTATGTTCTTACTATTCTGATATATTGTGCCACTCCACTCTTAATTTGATAAGACTTATGCATGCTCAATTTGACAATTATTATTACTTTAGTGCCTACGAGCTCTGTTCATGGACCAGAACCCCATTATGCAAGGGGCTATATAACCACAGGATAAAAAGATGGTCCCTGCCCGAAAGAGCTTACAATCTCTGCTTTAACTATGATACAAGATTTAAGTATCTAAATAATTCCAGACAGAAGTCTTAGTTTATGGGATAGAAAAAAATTGCAAAAATATTTTTCATGCTCCTCTCCAGCTTTTGTGAAATTCACATACAAAACTTGAGTTGATCCACAACCACTGGCATCCCTTTATCTAGGGAGAACCTATGAGTTACTAATAGTTTCTCCATTGTCATTCAATTTGCCCTGCATCATTCTCTGCACATCTCATGTGTATACCAGGCTATAGTTCAATGTACACTTTAAAAATCATGCTTTGCGTGATGCAAGGACCTGAATGAACATTTGCCTAATGAAGTAAACATGTTATAGATGCACTGGAAATGGGGCACGGTCTCCACAGAAGTGATGCATGAGTCTTTGTGCATTTGAATGTTAAGACTGCAGCTCTCCAGATAGACAAAAGGGTATTTTTTCCTATGACTCTAGTAAGGTGCATGGGATAGGATGTTTTGCTGATGTTTAACTTAACAGATTTTTTTTTTTTTAATATGAGTTGTACGGTTAAGAACTCAAATCATAAAATGCCAAAGGTAATATTCACATGCAAGTTAAACTATGCCCTTCCGTATGGATATGCATGACAATATGATCACAAAATAAATCACAAACAACACAAATAGATGTCCATATAACCTTGAAAAGTGGATATGATATAACATGCAGCAAATGGCACAGGGCCTGCTTCATTCACTGCTCATCTTGTATGTAAGTGACTTTCAGAGACTGTCAGCATAAGCAGAGTATATACACAAAACTACAAAATGCCACACATCTGGTTTTACAGAAAACTGTACATTGTATTTGATAAATGGTAAATGGACAAATAATTAAAGACTCTTAGAATACACAAGTACCACTACACTGGATACAACCTTAACTTTGGCATTTCCTGACTTGAATGATAATACTGCACAGTAAAGCACACACTAAAGTTTCTTTCGATTAACTTAAATGAGTCTTCCTGTGGTGAAAAGCTTAAAAAATACACAAGCACTCAGCAATTAAATTGCTAGATCAGGTATGGTATGGACCAGAAAGGAAGACAATATGTTGTGTAAGACTAATGCCACTCCACAAAATAAACAAAGGGGCCACAGGCTGTTGAGAAATACCACATCTAGATAGGTTTCAGAGTAGCAGCCGTGTTAGTCTGTATCCGCAAAAAGAACAGGAGTACTTGTGGCACCTTAGAGACTAACAAATTTATTAAAGCATAAGCTTTCGTGGACTACAGCCCACTTCTTCGGATGCATACAGAGTGGAATAAATATTGAGGAGATATATATACACACATACAGAGAGCATAAACAGGTGGGAGTTGTCTTACCAAGTCTGTACTCCTGTTCTTTTTGCACATCTAGATAGGATACCAACTATAGTTTGCTTATTCAGTTACCACAGGGATAATCTATGACAAATGAATAGGAGGGACAGTAGTACACTCCAGTTTTCTAGGCTTTAAGCCACTCGGTGTTTGACAACCGCAACGCAGGGAATCTTCTGGGAAGCATATGAAATACCAATTCTGGAACACAAATCAGGTTGAGGACTCAAGTCCAAGTGATCATACTGAACGCAGATCATCCATTTAATGAGCACACAGATGCTATGATTTCTGAGAAAATTTAAAAACAGTTGCAAGATAATTATTCCTTCCTGTTTACAACAGTGCTGTAAAGCACTGGTTTTCTTTAGGGGTCCGCAGACTATGTCGAAGAGGTCTGCGAAAGGTTGTCGTTACTAAAGAACAGTGGTTTTCAACTTGGGGTCCACAGACTATGTTTAAGATTTCCAAAGGAGTCCGCACCTCCATTCGAAATTTTTCAGGGGTCCACAAATGAAGAGATTGAAAACCACTGCTGTAAAGTATTTCTTTTTAAAGCCTTACTGAATATAATTGGTATGGAGTGGGTTTCAGAAGTTCTGTATCCTGATACAGTATATCCTTAAGTAGCAGTGAGTGAAAGGGGAAGGAAGGAGTGAGACAATAAGTTGGCATTATAATTAAAAAAAAATAATCTATTTATAATAATTTATTTCTTGAACTTACCGCAGCATCATTACTGGGAGATAAAATCCCCAAGAGAGAGGAGACTCTTCGGCCAATTCCAGAAAACATGCCCTGTCCCTGTGGCAGGACATGCTGATAGATCTTACCAGAACTGTCTGGTATCAATCGAACTAGCTGGCCCCTTGAAGATGATAAAACAAAACTTCCTCCCTAACGAAAAGTAAAAATGCCTACATTAAACACACAAAAGACACACCACCAACTTTCAGCAACAATTACTGTCAAATAAGGATTATTTGTACCAGGCTAGGAGAAAACGGGATTGGGAACACAGCCATCGTTGCTACTGCACAAAGAACCTGAGGGCTAGCAGAGATATACCATGAAACATTTTTCCAACAAATTAATTTAAAGCTCAGCTGGCTCTAAAAGCCTGGGGAAAACTTTACTTGGATAAAAATGTCAGCTTTCCAATAGGCCATGCTCTTTACCTGGAAATTATAAGACATTACATAAAAACTGAAATGTATCAGATGTTTTAACAACTATTTATAGTTCTTCCAAGGCTTAAATTATGACATATAGCACACAATATATGGGTTAGGTTACTCATGTTTAAACTAATATTTACCACATTTTTTGAAAAACTGTTTTATTGATCAGAAAAATTGTCCACCTTTAATGAACATTTTTACCAACTATTATTTGTGATCTTAATGCTCATTTTCATAATCTTCTTATTAGGAACTGCTCTGCTCCATAACAAAAAATTCTTTCCAATGGTAGCTTGCTGTTTTCACTGAAGTGCCCTGACCTACGCAGGACACATCACAACTAACTGCATAAGAAAATATCCATCAGACTATGTTGTGAAACTTATTTCGGTATCTTTTAAAAATGATTTTGGCAATAATGAATGTAGTTTTTGTAAAAGATGCCAGATTGTTTGTAAAAGGAAATGCAGCACTATTTGGCAATAGTAGTGGAGAGGACAGGGACAGGCTCACCTCTTGTGCAAAGTCATTGACTTCAATGGTGTTACATGTGAGATGAATATAGCCCATACTGTGAAAAACACATTACTTAGAAGTATTGAAAGAAGTCTGTATCAAGCAAATATTAAACTGGAGTTCAACAATTATTAATCTTCTAAACACTGCACAAGATTTATCCTATGTAATTACATTTCAGTCAACAAAAATTGCAAAGCTAAAATTCCATGTAATGTTTTCAAACGAATGTTTACACTTCTCAAAATGCAGTGGTATAGTTCCATTTGAACTTTTCTCGAGTCTCAGTTTACCAATTTAGCAAATCTAGTGCTTCAAATCTCTGAGATGCCTGCACACACACTTTCAATTGCTTTCATTTTCTGACAGATGCTTAATTCTTTTATTAGACTTTTTAAGTTAAACAAGCAACAGATGTGTTGTTTTGGGATGTTTCAATACTCACTGCTAATCAAAAATGTTACATATAAATATACTAATTCTGCCCTAAAGGGAAAATCATTTTATTTAAATTAGACTTCGGATGTGCTAGGTTTTAGAAGTTGCAAGTAATTTTTACACAAATGCAGATAAAAATTTTCCAACAGAGTCAATCTGCTGACATCTGAAACACTTATGTGTAATTGTTCATTTAGTTAAGTGAAAAAAATTCACAATTCCTTAGTAAACATAACAGGTTAAAAAAGAGAATATAAGTAGTCCTACCACCATTTTAGCTTTGCAGTTTACTCCTCTTACATCTAATTTCTGAACTGGGATTTATAAATATATATATATATATATATATATAGTTTAACAAGCACATGCACAAAATAATTCTCTGTTCGTGTTTGTCATATTCTGGAACTTTTGGGAGGAAAGGGATCTTGCTCTCACTCATGGTGGTCTCGCCTCTCTGTCAGTTCTGTGAAGTTACCCATAATGAAGTTACATAGTTCACTCAGCAACTGTTCAGTTTATTAAAGTTCCTAGGGGTTTAGGACTTGATGCTCCAAATACTCTTTCCTGTTTCTAAGTTAGCAATCTAATTAATACTTTTGATGTAAACAGAATTTGTACTATACCTTTACAGCTGTTAGAAAACTGCACAGAGAGCCTCCAAAGTCTGTAAAAGTCTCCGTATAGGAACCTTCATGCACAAGGCTGGGCCAATAACGTACAAACCCTTCGCTGGTGGCAACCATTGCTGACAGAGACTTGAAATTACAGAAAAATAGTCAACACATGATATAGATGGACTATAATAAGGATGAAACTTTTTATTTGAATATTAATCTCTTTTGAGTGTCCCAGAGGTTAAGCGGGTAAAAACACAAAACTGGTAAACATATACATACATACACACAGAACCAAAGCGCATTCAGGGGAGAGGAGGAGGATTATGTAAAAATGGAAACTTCTAACTCAACAGATGTATATACTGAGTCATGGCTGCTTGTCTTACTGACAAAAATAATTTTTACTACTTTTTACTGCAGATTGGGTAGCAGGGCCAATATAGCTATGGAGTGCAAGTGAGATTTGTTGCTGTAGGAACCAGCAAAGGACTTAAGTTCCAGATGCAAAATCTTTGTTACATGTGACCCCAAAAACTCAGTTTGACTAATATCCAATGTCAGCTGGCGAGGCTGACAGTTAGAGGGAAAAAATCTTTTTACCTGTAAACCAAAAAAATTGTTTTGGAGCCATTAAGAGAAACATAAAACTCTACAATGCCTTTTTTACAAATGTATTCTTTAGAGAATAAGCACACAAACTCTCAAATGTTTCTATCAGGATGTTTTGGGTGAAGAGTTCTTCACTCTAGGATTCACTCTCCCTGGAGATCCACCCAAAGCCAAGTACAAAGAATGGTGCAAGTGCATTTATCCAAGTAAAGATCTGGACAGGAAGCACTACGTCTCATCAACTGATTGCCCAAAAATCACAAAACAATAAGAACATAATAATGGCTGTAATGGGTCAGACCAATGGTCCATCTAGCCCACTATCCTATCTTCTATCAATAGCCAGTGCCAGATACTTCAGAGAGAATTAACTGAACAGGGCAATTGATTCATCCCCCGTTGTCCAATCCCAGTTTATAGCAGTTGGAGATTAAGGGCCATGGGGTTACATCTCTGACCATCTTGGCTAATAGCCATTGATGAACCTATTCTCCATGAATTTATCTAATTCTTTTGTAACCCATTTACACTTTTGGCCTTCACAACATCCCCGGGAAGGAGTTCCACAGGCTGACTGCATGTTGTGTGAAGTACTTCTTCCTTATGTTTGTTTTAAACAGGCTGTATATTAATGTATTTGTATCACCCCTGGTTCTTGTGTTACATGAAAGGATAAACAACACTTCCTCCACACCATTAATGATTTTAGAGACCTCTATCACCTCCCACCCATTGGTTGTCTCTTTTCTGAGCTGAATAGTTGGTCTTCTTAATCTCCCCATCATATGGAAGTTGTTCCATACGCCAATCATTTTTGTAGCCCTTCTCTTCACTTATTCCAATTTTAATATATCTTTTTTGAGATGGGGCAACCAGAACTGCCTGCAGTACTCAAGGAGTGGGCATACAATGGATTTACATAGTGGTATTAAGATATTTTCTTATTATCTATTCCCCTCCGAATGGCTCCTAACACTGTTAAGCTTTTTTGACAGTCACTGCACATTGAGCGGATGTTTTCAGAGAACTATCTAAGATGACTCCAAGATCTCTTTCTTAAGTGGCAACAGCTGATTTAGACCCCATCATTTTGTGTGTATAGTTGGGGTTATGTTTTCCAATGTGCTTTACTTTGCACTTATCAACATTAAATTTCATCTGCCATTTTGTTGCCTAGTCATCCAGTTTTGTGAGATCCCTTTGGAACTCTTTGCAATCATCTTTGGACTTAACAATCAAGTAATTTTGTATCAGCTGCAAACTCTGCCACCTCACTGTTTCCCCACTTTTCCAAATCATTTATAAATATGTTGTACAGCACTTGTCCCAGTACAGACCTTTGTTGGACTCCTGCTATTTACCTCTCTCCACTGTGAAACCTAACCATTTATTCCTACCCTTTCCTTCCTACCTTTTAACCAGTTACTGATCCATGAGAGGTCATTCCCTCTTCTCCCATGACTGCTTACTTTGCTTAAGAGCCTTTGGTGAGGAACCTTGTCAAAGGCTTTCTGAAAATCCAAGTACACTATACCTAACTCAATCATCCTTGTCCAGATGCTTGCTGACAACCTCAAAAAATTCTCATAGATTGATGAAGCATGATTTGCCTATACAAAAACCATGTTGACTCTTCCCCAACACTGTTTATTTCTGCACCTGATAATTCTATTCTTTATTATAATGTCAACCTATTTTCCTGGTACTGAAGTTAGGCTTACTGGCCTGTAATTGCCAGGATTGTCTCTGGAGCCTTTTTTTAAAAAATGGCTGTTACATTAGCTATCTTCCAGTCATCTGGTACAGAGGCTGATTTAAGCAACAGGCTACATACCACAATTATTAGTTCTGCAATTTCATATTTGAGCTCCTTCAGAACTCTTGGGTGAATATTTGTTCCAAAACCTCCTTTACTGACACCTCAATCTGGGACATTTCCTCAGATCTGTCATCTAAAAGAATGGCTCAGGTGTGGGAATCTCCCACACATCCTCTGCAGTGAAGCCCAATGCAAAGGATTCATTTCTGCAATGGCCTTGTCTTCCTTGAGTCCTCCTTTACCACCTTGATCATCCAGTGGCCCCACTGATTGTTTGGCAGGCTTCCTGCTTCTAATGTACTTACAGACATTTTTGCTGTTAGTTTTTGTGTCTTTTGCTAGTTGCACTTCAAATTCCTTTTTGGCATGCCTAATTATACTTTTGCACTTGACTTGCCAGAGTTTTTGCTCTTTTCTATTTTCCTCACTAGGATTTGACTTCCAAAGTTTTTAAAAGGATACCTTTTTGCCTCTAAATGCCTCTTTTACTCTGTTGTTTAACCATGGTGGCATTTTTCTGGTCCTCTTACTGTTTTGTTGTAATTTGGAGTATACAAGACGTTTTACTCTTGTGACTATTCCTTTTAATTTCCAATTAAATAGCCTCCTCATTTTTGTGTAGTCCCCCTTTTTGAAGTTAAATGCTACTGTGGTGGGTTTCTTTAGTATTTTCCCCCACTACAAGGATGTTAAATTTAATTACATTATGGTCACTATTACTGAGCAGTTCAATTATATTTTAAAATTTTACAGTGATTTATTTTGTAATGTTGTAATTTAAGAGGTCATTGAGCTATCCTTTGACCCAACCTCTTGCAGTTTTCCCACCACTAATATTCCCCTTACAGCCTTACTACTGTGGTCCACAAAGCAGTGATGTCTTTGCAAAACATACCCAGCTAAGGAAAGATGAATTTAATAATTTAGGCTTTCGCATGTTCTCACCTCTCATACTACTTCTACCATGATTAAACTGTGGCAAGAGTTAAAGGGGTCAAGTTTGGGGGGAGGAGTGTGACAGCAAAATGCTATTACCTCTTTTCACCACCTAGAAATTCAAGATGATGCCAGGATGGATGGCTTCTTCCCTTCAAGGACTAGCTGCTGATCTGACCCTCACTGAAAAGCTCTGGGTGCACTGAATGAATGCTGTGTACAACCTGAAACTGAAAACTGGCAACTATCTCATGTTCTTTGTGAACGGCAGTTACACACAATATAGTGTACAACAGTGCAATATAGTGTATACCGAGTTGATCCTGGGTTCTCATCCTCGCACAGTGCAAGAGGTATTTAGCAAAGCAGCAGGCCCAGGAAGGCAAATCTCCTATTTCTTTCAGTGTTGGATGGCATTCATAATGAAACTTAGGCAAAAAAACAGTTTTCATTTGCAGGCAGTCCACACACCCAGAATGAAAACACAAATAATGCATAACTTTTTCAGGAAGCACTATGTTCAAATTTCACTTGTCTGGACTAAATTATCGGGCATCCCACTGCTGAATGATGATATTTTCCCTAGTCTGATTTTTTAAAAAAAATTTTAATTAATCCTTTAAGAACTGCAATATAAGAAGTTTCTAATTACTACATTTAATTACCAAAAAAAGAATAATTCTTTTAAAACTATCTTAAATATATTAAATGTGAGCCTGCTATCTTGACAGTGATGTAGTTTATAACTAGGCTTGGCAGATTTCATTTCTTTTCCCTAACTTTAAAAATAAAAATCAATAAAAATGTTGATCATTTTTACAGTTGTGGGGAGTAGGGCTGAGGCTAGGGTTAGGGCAGTGCTGACAGCAGGGCGCTGCCTGTGCAGCCAATGGGAGGGCCAATGGAAGAGCAGAGACCCCCAGCCAGGACAGCAAAGATGACAAGGAGCCCCAAGCCACAGGGGACACCACCCCTCTGCCGAACAGTTCCTGCCTGAGGATGGCTCCCACACTCCTGGCTTGTGAGTGAGTGCGACTGTGACAGCAGAGCTGCAGAGAGATCCCTACATGGACATTGACACCAGATCGCTACAGGCACAAGGAGCAGGGAAGGCTGTCATCCTGGTGGAGCAAAGCAGAGACCACCCAGCACTCCCAGCTGGTGAGTGAGAGTCCATGACAGCGGGGCTACAGAGGGCTCCCTGCACTGCCACATAAGCCTTTCAGCAGTGGGGTGGCCATGCCTGCAACCAGGGACTCTTCCTCTTCCTCACAGTCCTGGACAGAGATCTCTGCTCTGCCCTTCCAAGACTGCAGCCTCCCCCTGCACCTTGTGTGCAGGGATCAGAGGTCACCAACCCAGAGGCAGCACAGGGAGCCCTCTGCAGCTCCACTGCCACAGACCGACCCACTCACTCCCGTGACAGTAGGGCTGCAGAGGACTCCCTCCAGGGCCATAGGGCTGGTGACACCAGATCCCTATAGACACACTGACAGTTATCAACCACTGTTTTTTTCGTCAATTTCAGTGTGTCAACAGAAATCGATGTTTATTGACAGTTATTGATTAAAACTGAATCCTGCCATGCCTAATTATAACACAGGGAATGCAGTTTCCAATGAATGAATGACAAAGAAGGATATTCATAGATGTTTTTTTTAAAAATTGTTAAGTTGCTTACTTGTAGAGAAGGTACTTCACTTGAGGTACTGAGGCAGGATATAGCTGCCAAGCTAGAACTCCATTGGAAATCACTGGATGGCAACTGTAGTTCCTTGCATACAGATAACTACAACGAGGAATAAAGAGCCACTATTATAAACATGCCTCAGACAAAGTCATTTGTATATCCATTTTACAAATTCTACTAATCTTTGTTCTGACAGTAGGTACTAAGGTAAAAGCAAATAATTAAATTACTCAAATTACATGAAACTATAGCAAAGGGTTTTAGAGAGGATTATCAGAGTACAGTCATATTTGTGTTAAATAAATACCCAGGCATGCTTCACTCCCATCCTAATGACAAATACAGGAACTCTAGATTCCAGTCTTCTGTCAACCAGACAGCAACTTGTGTCTGCCAACAAGCAGGCAATTGTTTCACTGAACTTATTTATTTATTAAAATGTCTTAAATGTGATTTATAATGCCAACCATTTTTCAGATGATGCTCCCTCAGCACTTGGAGAAATTCTTCAGGAGGTGAAGGCTGGAGAAGATACAACAGCCCCAGCTTGGCAGTAGTATGAGGCTTCTCAGATAACCCATTGTTAAAGAACATAAATTCACCCCACCTTTACCCCCAATTAAAAAAAAAACATACAACTAACAACCTGGGCCAATCATTAGGTTCATCTGCACGTATGTCATTACCATGTCCCCAACCTTTCATTTGCTCTTGAGTCTTTTAGATTGAAAGCTCTAGAGTACTGACTATATCACTATCTGCTTCTATAGCACCCAGCACAATGGAGCCCTAATCCTGATTGGAGGGGGGAGGGGAGGGGAGGGTTTGGGTGCTACTGGAATAAAAATTGTAAATAACAGAACTACTTTTTATTTTGCACTAATATGGGTTTACCAATCAGAACAATACTGTTAATGTATCAAGCACTCTCTTTTAAAAAATGTAAGCTCTGAATTTTGAACCAATTTTCTGCTTTTAAACTATCTTAAGTTCTAACATTAGGTGCCCATATGGAGTGTCACAAATGCCATTTTTAGCAAGATTGCCATAACCAGCTGATAGATCAGAAATGTATTTACACATTATTTTCAAATACAATTCACAAATTACACACGGTAAGAGTGCTTCTCAACACTACACTGGACAAAGCAGGTTTCTTTGAAGCCTTTTAGCCGGAACACTGGTTATACATTTTCAAGTACAAGATGGTAAAATCATCCAAAGAAATGTGCTTGAGAAAATTATGACTGTTGAATAGGGAAGGAAAATGTATCGGTAAAATCAGCACAGCTGCACCTGTCACTCTGGTATTGTGGACATTGTACTGTGAGAGTTATACAAAGAATACACGCTGCATTTGACTGAGGAGGAGAGACATATTCCCTATCATCAAGAGAGACTGGAGAATGCATCTCTATTCCTTGTTGTTATAACAACTACAGGCTCCTACAGATGTTAACTGCTATGCACTGAAGTGTTTTTTCGCTTAAGTGTTTTTTGGTGCATAGGTAAAATATTTTCTTGACAAAAGAAAATTAATCAAAACATCCACTCACAATACAAGAGGCTTATACAGATTCATTTCTCATGGCACACGCTGAAGAGCAGGCACAGGATTATCAAAACCAATCTTAATATATTAGCTAATTTCAAAAAACGTTATTTAAATCACTAGAGTGCATCTGCCTTGAGAGACACCTATTAAATAAAAAAAACCCAATATAATATTAAGGTTGCACAGAGAGAAAATACAAGAGTTAAGTTCTAACAGCAAGCTTTCACCTTTCTTATGGAGTTGCTACCACCAATTCGTACAAACCCATTCATCTTTTTCATGTGAGTTATGGGTCTCAGTTTGTCGACTATCCCTTGGGTCAAACTACAGAATTGAAAGACTTGCTCGATTAGCATAACACATACACACCCAATTTTTCATCATCATTTTGACAGCCCATTTACCTTAGCAACTGGTGATTGACCAATCTTCCAAATAATCAGCCTCTCTTTGTAGACTAGCCAGGCCCATCCACTTTCATCTACCTGCACGCTTAACGGGTCATCAGCTACATCCAAAAAGACCATATAAAATTTCATGAAGTAATAAGACTTCTAAAACTCTGTAGAATAATCTTTAAACTACCAAATCTTCGTTTTGGTAGGAAATGAGGAAACTTTTTTCTCATAGAGCCAATGCCACATGAAAAATTCTATGTCCTTTAGATAATTAAATGCAAGACAGTCATTTACCAAATATTGTTTAAAATACATTTCAATGCAACATACATTTCTCTCACAAAAGTTGAAAGTAAGTCACGCCAAGAAAATGACCCATTTTATTTACATCTTATTAGATAAGAATTGAGAGCAGCATAATCACTGAGGAAATTACTTAAAGTTATTGCAAATATAATGTAAATCTAAAACAGTGAACCATTATAAAAAAGAAACAGCAATGTAGAGAAAAATCTCTGAAGAGAGATTCTTGGTTTCAAGGCAAAGCCCATTTTCCTAGATTTTTGGAGAATGATAAGAAGATAATAACGAGTAGCTTTTTCTATTTATCTGCTGGTTTTATATCATTATGTGGGGTTGGGTTAAATCAAGCTGATGTATCTGTGTTTTAACAGTTTGGATTATGTGTTCTTAAAGAATTATTAAAGCACCTAAAGTTTGAGATAGGTACAAAATAAATGAAAAAGATAAAAAAAGATAGACATATACACAACTTGATTTCTTTACTCAATCCTTTGGATCTGACCCACACAATCCCCCTTTAGACACTATTTTAGGCATTTTTAATATGCCTCTAACTGTATTATCTAGGTACCAAATTCAAAATTGGGACTCTCATTAACTTTGTCCATAAAGGATCCAGCTCCTTCATCATTCCTAGATTCAGCTATTTATATTTGGAAGGGATTCTTTTATATTAGTTCAGCCTTTGTTATTGAGGTAAGACTTTTTCATAAAGTTTTGCATTGCACTCTCAAAACAGACCAGTTTTAGCTCATTCTAACCATTTCCAGTAGTGTGGTTCCCAAGTCTTGAATTTTAGAAGCCATTTGGATTTGTTATTGTTTTGAAGGTAAAAAATCTGGATCAATGGATACAGTCCAATTATGTATAAAAATATAGAATTGTGAACACATTCTATGCACCTATTCAGCATGACTGATGGCATCAACCAACAAGTGCAAAACAAGAAACAACTAAGGACGGTTGTCCTTTTTTAACTTAGGATTTTGAAGGTACTTGTTTTGCTTGGTCTGTATGATACCCTCAGATATTACAAATAAAACAAAAATAAAACAAAAATATAATGAAATAGTTCTGCTTTTCACAAGAAGTCTGTTACTGAATTAATTGATATCCAGATGACTGACATTTGAAAGAAAGTAGTTGAGTTGTTCTGGTCATAAACAATTACAATTTTACATGTTTTGAAGCTTACAAATGCTCGAACAAGTGACTTATTGTATGCAATTAAAAAGAGGTGCTATCTTCTCCTCCTCCTCACTCAAAAATCAACTATTTAAAAGTATAAAGAGATCACCATTTTTCCTTTAGCTAATCCAATTCCCATGCGGAGAAAAGAGAAATGCAAACCTTACCATCAGCCTTTCTTAGGGCCTCCATAACCTTAACAGGGAGAGAGGATCCAAAACTCTTAACATCATAGTTGATAGTCTCACTGGCTGAAGGATGTTGTATGACTCTTGTGGGTGTTGCTCTAAAAAAAATAAATAAATAAATAAAAATACACACAGCTGTGATTAATTTTCTACTATGTCTCCAGCAATTTTAATATATAATATTTATCTCATTTTTAATTGTTTAAAAGATAGATTTGATTAAATGGCCAGGTTTGTGAAAAAGGGGCACAAGTGCATATCTTAGGGAACACTCAAGACAAGTCAGTATATTAGGTTTCCCTTGTTGTATTAAGTTAGATGGAATAAATGGACCAAAGGTGTTAACATAATCCAGTCATAATCCAACAACAAACAAACAGTGTTAAACAAAGGCTATGTCTACACTACACAGCTTTTAGCGACATGGCTGTGTCGCTACAGCCGTGCTGCTAAATCATGTAGTGTAGCCACTGTTTGTCAGCTTTCCTGCCGATAACGTGCTGTTCACCCTGGCGCTTGTAACGGCAAAACTGTTAGCTGGAAAGAGTTTTAGAAGGAAAAAAAAAACACTTTGTGAGTCTCTTAGATGGTATTAAAAATGGTAATATCTGTCCTGTTGGATAAAAGAGAAGAAGTTGGTTGGTACGAGCTGTAGCTGTTGCTGAGGTAAAAATGCAAAACTCCCTTCGGGGAAATGAAAATAAGTTACTTGAGATGGGCTGGAACTGATGTTATTCCTGCTGCAGTAAAAGTCAGACCCCGTTTTATCTCAGGTGGTGTCGGAGATATAGCTCGAGCTGGTAGGGGATAGCAATATCACCTGGATCGCTCCCTCTGACCCCATCTGGTCAGGACATCCCACAGGATTAGGACAAAGAAGGCCTGGGTCCCAGGAGACAGTGGGGTTGACAGCCATGAGGGTGAAGCTCACTCCAGTAGCCTCAGTCTGATCTTTGCTCTGTATTTTTCCCCCCAAAGACTCTCTCTTAAGGACCCAAAAAGGGTGTGAAGGTGGAATAGCTCATACCCCTCATTATTTTGTCCACCAATTAGGCCTAATATCTGATACACCAATTTTGGTACATAAATTTCCAGCTCCACATCTGTTTTTAACAAGCATAATTTCAACAGATTACGTCAATGCAGACTTTTTGGTTTTGACTAATCTAGTTTCTCTGTCTGGTTTTCTTGCATCTACTCCCATCAATATTTATTATTATAGGTCAGGTATTGGCAACCTTTGGCACGTGGTCCATCAGGGTAAGCCCCTGGTGGGCCGAGTCCGCAGGTTTGGCCAATCGCAGCTCCCACTGGCCATGGTTTGCTGCTCCAGGCCAATGGGGACTGCGGGAAGTGGTGTGGGCCGAGGGATGTGGTGGCCGCCCTTCCTGCAGCCCCCATTGACCTGGGATGGCGAACCGCAGCCAGTGGGAGCTGCGATCGGCTGAACCTGCAGATGCAACAGGTAAACAAACTGGCCCAGCCCACCAGGGGCTTTTCCTGACGGGCCACGTACCAAAGGTTGCCGATCCCTGTTATAGGTTATTGTGACATTTTATGAACTTGCACTTTTTACCGTAAAACTCTAAATTATGGTAAATTTGTAGGCTCAATTATCACAGCTCCTTCTAGAAAGTTGTTAGGTTGCTATTAGATTCCTTTCTACTATAATTGACTTCTTTACAAATTTTCCCTGCTTCTCAGCAGCGTGCCCTTTCCTTGCCAACAAGCCGGAAAACACTGCAATGGCATCTTTCAATCAGAAAGAATGAAAGACTATCTCTGTAACCCAAACCTGAAACCAAGGTCAGAAAGTGAGAATGGGCTGCCATGCTAAACAGGCTGAAAGTTCAGTCTAGCAATCCTCCAGGGCTGAAAATGTCATCTGAGCAACACTTGTCAGTCTCAAGAACAAATGACTACTTTTGAGATTGAATTCTAAAGTGTCATATAACTGTTCTGGATTTATAACACTTCTGACCTACGTGGGATAGGGAACAATGTACGTTTTTTTGGACAGTGATTTTTTTAAATGCATGGAAACTTTGACAACCAGAGGCCCAAAAACTAAAAAGGTACAATTGACAATCATTCTAGACATAAAATGAATGGAAATCATCATATGCTAGGCTTCAGTTCACGTGACTTTCAGGGTTACTACCAGCAGCCACAAGATTACGCAAGACCTAACAAAGACCTGTGCCCCACAATCTTAGAAATGTCAAACAGAAAATGAACACTATAATGAGCTAAAGGAAAGACTGTTTATCTGAATTATCGCAGTATTAGGAGCCTTAGTCATGCATAGGAGCTCACTGTGTAGCTGCTGTATGAACACAGAACAAAAAAACAATCCTTGCCCCAAAGTGCTTACAATCTAAGTGGGCAGACATCATGCTTACATCACCGACATTAGGAACGGGGCATCCTCTGCACAACGCCACAAAGGAATTGGGTAATGCACAAACCCCTGGGTGATCAATCAGATT